CTAATAAAAATGATCCGTTGTATTGAACTCGCATGGGCTGTTGTGTACACTTTACGTTGTTTGGGTGGTGGGTGGACAAAATGCGTAGGATATCGGATGCATAGTATGCCTTTTTTGGCTTCCCAAAAACCGGAATTCGTTCGTCATCATGATGGAATTCGGGAAGAATAGACAAATCTTCTTCACTAGATTCTGTACCCTCCTCATCGGATGAGCTGCTGGACGAATTGGAATCTCGCATCTCCACTTTTAATGGTTTCAATGGCGGTGAAACAGGAATAGGATTGCTTACACCGTAATTTGTTGACTTGTGGACAATCAGTTTCTTCTTACATCGTAGTATGGGAGGAAGCGCATGCCTTCCGTCGTTTGATGCAGCTTTCTTCAGTGGAGATTCTTCAATTATAATCGGACGTTCCCTTGTTCCGCCTTCACCTGACGGCCCTTCAACGCTTCTCATTTTGTTTTGGTATGCTAAAAATAACATTTGCAAGATATGACGACTGCATGCATAAGAGAATTCCATACCACATAACTAATAATTATACACATGCAGGTAATTGAAATCAGTGAACTATATATATTTTACTGAATACGGCTCAAAGTATAGCTGTGATGCGATTTACAGACCTGTTACTTATTTATTGAATAGTCAAAAATATCTATTGACTGTTATTTTGAAAACAAAACCTGATCAGACCAAATAATTTACCCACCATCAAGGCCACGGCCAAGACTTTGTCATTGGGGATATTCGGTCAAATTTCATACCTGATTTTTTAATTATGGTTTATGTTACTGAAACCCATGCGTTTGAAATTCAGTGTGTTTATATTCATGTCAGTTGCTTAGGAAATCATGCTCCAAGATGCGCACGTCCTTTTGAATTTTAGAAGTCCCGAAATTCGTGCAATGAGAACAACAAAAAATTGTGTGAAATTTTGAAAATTATTACACCTGCCTAGCACAGCCAGTGTGACCTCTACTCCCCATTGATTCAAGTAGCGGGTTTTTATTTCGATTTATTTCCAATAATAATTGTCAGCAATGTATGACTATGTTTCGGTGAACGTTGTCAACCAACGAGGGGTTTTCTAATAATGTATTTTATTGTCTTACCATGCCCACTTTTCGAACGTTTATTACATCTGCTTGATTTTTTGCTTTGACTAATCGGCATGTAGTCCCTACAAACCATTGAAATAATTAATACTGTTACTCTTTACGTAACCATATATATATATATATATATATATATATATATATATATATATGTATATATGCATATATGTATGCATGCATGTATGTATGTATGTATGTATGTATGTATGTATGTATGTATGTATGTATGTATGTATGTATGTATGTATGTATGTATGTATGTATGTATATATGTATATATGTATATATGTATGTATATATGTATGTATATATGTATGTATCTATGTATGTATCTATGTATGTATCTATGTATCTATGTATGTATCTATGTATCTATGTGTCTATATATATCTATATATATCTATATATATATCTATATATATAACTATATATATATCTATATATATATATCTATATATATATCTATATATATCTATATATATATATCTATATATATATCTATATATATCTATACATACGTACATACGTACATACGTACGTACGTACATACGTATATATGTATATATATGTATGTATATATATATATGTATATATATATATATATATATATATGTATACATATATGTATATATATATACATATATACATACATATATATACATATATACATACATATATACATACACATATATATATATATATATATATATATATATATATATATATATATATATATTGCTCCTTTGTTTTTTTTACAGTAAAAGGTAGTGGCAGCTTGGGCGCCAGTACTTTTTATTGTAAATTAACAGAAACTGTTAAATAGAAAAAATACTGTTATTTTACAGTTGTATTACTGTTTCTTTAGACAGAAAAACAACTGTAAATAAGGGACCATTCATTGTATTTATGACTGGGGGTGGGCTGGCAAAATTGAATTAATAACTAAACAGAATGTCTTGTCCCCCTGCATCACAAAAAAATTAAATGACCCCTTCACATAAATTCTAAAAAAATAGTAACCCCCCCCCCCC